AAGACCTTGATAAGTTACTCAACCTCTCTGAGCCTCAGATTTTTCATTCTTGAAAGTGTGGTAGTCATCACAGATACTGCTTGGCTTATGATAGGGTTACTTCCCCATCAACCCATCGAAAATTGAAATTATCATTCATTGGAATGTGACTGAAGCATGTAATACACCTGGTCTACTTAACATCATTGCCCCACCTCACCTATCTACATGTGCTCAGCACACTTCCACTATCCTACACTTGGGCAAAATCATCTACTATAAAATTTATTTCAGAATAAAATGTTAATTATCTCATGTGATTCATTGAGTAGCTGTGTCTAGTGATGCAATACACTAGTTTCAGTTGTTCATCCTTAGGAATTTGTGGATCTTTGGGAGATTTAGGAGAGAATAATACTGTATGTCACTAGCCTACAACAATATCAAAATTCAAAGTATGTTTCTACTGAATACATGTCAGGATCATACCATCACGAAGTTGAAAAATTGTAAATCAAACCAATGTAAGTAAGGAATTGTCTGTACAGCCTCAGAAGAATGGAATACAGATTCAATGGGATCAATGATGCAAAATGCCCAGTATAATACCAACGTACAGCAAGTGAACACCAAGTGCTAGACGTCACCATTACCACTGTCATCATCATCACCACCGCCACTAGTGGTAGCAAAAATAACTGGTTTCCACTGACAAAGGATGGTGTATCAGTCTTCCCAGACCTGCTCACATTTCCAGCTCTCCAACAGAGACTCACTCACAAGCACTGTGGAGTGGTGTGGGGAGGAGGACTCGACAGCCAAAGGGGTTCACCTTGAGCAAATTCTTAACATTTTTCAACATCAATTTCTTCAGTTATAACGTGAAAATAATTATACCTCCTTCAACAGTTGGGACAAACATTATGTGTAATATGCAGAAAGTGTCCAGCATATGAATGCTCTATGTATCTTGGCTTTTTATTCAGCCCAGCTGCCCTTGCCTGCCCTCCTCTCTCTGCCCATCTCATTCCCAGAAACTTCATACATCTATCTTTCTAGTCTGTTCTGAGAGCATCTGTGACAATTTTCCTTCCACAGTGACTTTTCCTACCACTGAGATAATAAAGTATTTATCCTCTGTGGAGATAGAGGAGTTGGAAGCCCAGAGGATCCCAAGATCTTTTCTCCATGGCTGCTGTTGACTTTTTAAAAGCCAGTGCTTTCAGACAATAGTGCACAAAAAGAATTCCATTCCCATGTGGCCAAAAAGCAGTTTCCAAGTGCACTCTCTCTGAGTTCTCGGCATTATGATCTCCCTGTTGTCTGGGCAGAGAGTCACTTCCTTTCCTGAAAGTCAACTCCCAGATGCCTTGTTTAGGAAGGTTTCATAACAGAAAGTGAAAATCAGTTCATTGGTAAATTAAGGCACACTGGGGCTTCTAGCATGTGGACAGGCTGGAGAGCCACTGTACATACCAGCTGACATCTATATAAGCATCTGGCATTTCATCTCCCTATGAGCCTGACTCTAGCTGCCTCTGTACCCATTCAGTATAAATCACAGTCAATGTTCTTGCAAACTCTGGACAGTTCTGGGAAGCACTGTTAAAGGATTCCAGCTAACTCCTTAGCATGTCCTACAGGTCCTTCACAATCTGACCTCAATTCCCCTGTTAGACTCTCCTTAGACCCACCTCATACATCTCGCCATTCTGCAAGCCCACCAAAATCCTCCCTGCCTCCTACTCTTTCTTCTATCTGGGATGCCCCTTTTTTTTTTAAACTCCTTTACCTAATGAGTCTTACAATACTTTAAACCCAACCCAAGTGTTACCTCACAAAGAACTCCCCTGACCTTATACAGTCAAAGGTCATTACCTAATTCTCTCATGAGGCCTTGGTTGCTGAGCTTTTCATGGAGAGCTTCTATGTTTCTATCCTTCTTCCCTAAGAGGTCATAAGCAGAAGGTCAAGGATAATTGTATAACCCATGAGTCTGACCAGCTTGGTGTCTGGTAACCAACACATTTAATTTAGTGAACTGATGAAAGAAAACAGAAAAACAGGAAGGATGGATTGAACAATGCTGATCCTCAGAAAATACACTATCCTCTCTGAACTTCCTACCCTGTGGTGCCTGGAAATTACTTTTGGTAGGCAAGCATTGGTGAGAGTACACAGGGCAGCAGAATTGTGTTTGCAGAAGGTGGGTGGGTATTCCTGGATGTGGACAAGGGAAGTGCTCTGGCCAAAACCATGACTCCTGGAAAGTATTAAATTCTAGGGTCTTTTCTTATTTTCACCCTGCTACACTTCTGTACAGAGCTGATTTGCAATAAAACTTGAGATAAATAATATTTTGTAGAAAAGTCTTATTTATTTTTTAATTTATTAAACAGCTATAACCCCAAGGCTGAAAAAAAAAAACTTTTATCTTGTAACTGCAGTTGCTCTTGGAAGTGCCATCACCAGGGTTATCCCTCTGGTAATTATTGAGCAATCCATTTTCACCAATAGACCTGACACCTGTAATAAGAGTCCCTGTCTGCCTGTGTATTTTCTGGCTAATTTGATCCCTTTATATCATGTGACTCTCAATGACCCATATGCATTATTAGAGTTATCTTACTAAAACTTTCCTTAGGCTGGGGTGTGGTGGCACATACCTATAATTCTAGCACTCGGGAGGCTGAGGCAGGAGAGTCACTTTGAGTTTGGGGCCAGTGTGGGCTACAAAGTGAGTTCAAGTCTAGCCTGAACTGTTTAATGAAACCCTGCTTCAAAAAGACAAAAAAAAAGAGAACTTTCTTTAGAGGTGCACCATAAGTAATGCATCAATTTTTAAATCCTGGCAGAGTGAATCCATATCCCAGTCTTAGGATAGCCTAGAATACTGTTTTACAGAGGTTACCGGAGTTTCTTGGTTTTTGCCATTGAATGTAAGGAAGTGCCTCATCCAACTACATCCTTTCTGTAGGAGATGTTTATGGAGGGAGAGAAAGACACTATAAAACTTGCCCTAGCTGTTTAGCTCATAGTTAGTAAGAGTTTGTTACAGCCCAGGGTATTTAGTCTTATTCCAAACCCTGCAAGACTTTTGTGCTGGTTCTGCAAATGAGGAGTCTGAAACACAGAGGAGTCGGTAACTCATGCAAAGTTACATAGCTCCCATATGCCACAGACAGCACTGAGATCGGGTCTGCCTGCCCCAGAGCCTGAAAGCGTGCCACTCCCTCGGTTGCACCTCCACGGTAGGTTACTCTGACCTCTTATTCAGGAAGAGTTTTTCCAACCTGTGCAATTCCTAGACAGCTCTCATAAAATCTTACTCCTTTTGGCATTTTACACTCTGCTCATACAACCTTCTCTTTAAAAAAAAAAAGTGATTATTGAAAAATAGCATGATTCATGTATTTATCATATTCAAGGATGTAATAGTTTTCTGAGTGTCTTCCTGACCGATTTTTTATAAATGTCCTCAGTGGGTACAAATTGATCACCTTTGTCACTGGAAACAGACAAGAGTATTCCATGTGTCATGGTCTACAATGAGACCAATATAGTTCACAAGAGAGCTCATCTGGTCCTCCTTTAGTGAGCATACCCTTCATATGGGACAGTATTGGAGAACAATGGCCCTTCCTCTGCCGGAGCTCGTAGCACAGAAGTTCACCCCTTCCAGGAATTAACAGCCCCAAACACACTGTAATATTAGGTCCTCTGAAGTCCACCATAAGGCAAGAAGTTCAGGAGAGGAAATCATAACTACCTTGGAAAAACCTCAACTTGCTTTATTGGAGTGGGATCATGAAGCCTAATTTCTCACCTCAGCTTTTTTCATTAGTACTTACTGGCCAGTTTGGGGAGGATCAAGATAAGGGCAAGGCTAGGGGGAATAGGCCATAAGCTAATTGTGAAGGACCAAACTAAAGAAACATGTGCTTCCCTGGGGCACCCAATAGCAGCACTGAGAATGGATTAATTTGTATTTGCATAGAAATTAAAACAGATAACAAATGCATATACTAAAGCAAACTTAAGGTCAAGCAATCCAAAGTGTTAAGCAGTGAGCTTTCCTACCAGCCTCCCAGGCAGCCTCTCTGACCCGGTTTTTAAGCTCCTGCAGAAAGGATTCTGTGTGTCTGTGATGCTGGGTAACTCAGGCCACCTAACCTAGCCAGAGGTGGTGGGTAGCAAAGCTGGGCAAAGGAGACTTCAGCGCCGGGTAAGCGCTCCAAACCGGCTCAACTCATAGGCGACCACTTTGTTCCCTGCCAGGTACACAGGGTCATGCTTTGGGAGGACCACTGGAGCCTAAGTCAGGCCCTGGCACCCGCAGCTTACTCCACAGCTTCCTCAGCAGCACCCACCTCCTAGAGGTAAGCAAATGTGTGTTGCAGATAAAAGAGGGACCAGAAGACGCCCTAGAAAATCCCGAGGAGACCTGAAGCACCCACAAGGCCACCTGACCCGGCTACTGGGGACGGGGGTGGGGGGGTGCTCCTTGCTGCGATGCTGAGGTAGGTGCTGTCCCTTGGGATTCAGGGCGGTGCCTGGTGGTGGTAAGGAAAAACGCTGCTCAAATTTGCCTTACTAAAAATCGCCCTCCCCGCATTCGCATCACTGAGGAGCACCCAGCTGGTGTTTATCCTAAGGGCAGCAAATGCAGTTATTTATCTCTCTATTCCGCGATATATTCTCTAAAGTAATGAATGGTCCATTAAACTAAGTTTGGGCGTCTGTCTCCTCACAGCCACCTCCTCGCGGGCATTCTCAGCCGGGGAGGCCGTCGGCGTGGGCTGCAGCCTTCCAGCCTCCACCCTCTCCCTCTGCCGCCTCCCCTTTCCCTCCCTCCCCTTCACCCCTCCCCCTGGTTATTTGGGAGATTAGAGTTCATTAATTAAATCCTGTGCTTAGATCGAACTGTAACATTATTCCAATCACATTTATCTTGCAGGCGGCAGAGGAGATGGCAGCCTCGCTGGAAACGCGCGGGGGAGCCTGAGCCAGCGGCCGGGGACGTACGGCGCGGCGCGCTCCTTCGCCACGCCGCCGCGCAGACCCTCCATCTTCCCGCTCGGCGCTGCCCGCTCGCCCGGCCCCGGGCTCGCGCTGCTCCCGGGCCTCCTGCGGCCCCGGCTCCCGGCCTCCGCGGCTCCGCCACCAGGGGCCCCCTCCCCCGCCACACACGCTCACACGCGTCCGCGAGCACTCACACGCGCGCGCACACACACACTCACACACACTCACACGCCAGCGAGCTGCTGGCCGCTCAATGGACCGATTTCCTCGGTTTCCCTGATTGCAGTCCAGCCCGGGATGAGAAATTGCAAAATGGCCCGGGTCGCCAGTGTGCTGGGGCTGATCATGCTCAGCGTCGCCCTGCTGATTTTATCGCTCATCAGCTACGTGTCCCTGAAAAAGGAGAACATCTTCACCACTCCCAAGTACGCCAACCCGGGGGCGCCCCGAATGTACATGTTCCACGCGGGATTCCGGTGAGTGCGGGCCTCCGCGAGCGCCCTCAGTATCTGTCTGGTGTGTGCTGTGTCAGGGGACGGAAGAGGGGTGCTCGGGCTTCTGCAGGCACTTTGGGCAAGATAACTGCGTGGTCCTTCCACTTGTGTCTCGACTCTCCCTTCCTCCTGCCCTTTATTTTTTTTAACCCAAAGCCCCTAAAAGCCGTGGTCCCGATCGATGTGATTGCATTTCTCGTATTCTTCCTCAGCGTCCCTTCCCCCCATTTCAGAAATCTAGGAGGGTGTTAGGAGAACAACGGTGGAGGGAGAGGCAGCGTAAGGGGGGCAGCGAGCCGAGATGGACAGGCGAGAGTCGCGCCCTCCCCGCCCGCGGTCCGCAGGCTGGGAGGCCGGGCTCCGGGCGGTGCGAGGCGGCTGAAAGGCGCAGGCGCCGACTCCCTCGCCCCCTCCCCCTCCTTCCCCTCCTCCCCATCAAAGGGAGCGCGGGCCGGTTCTCTGGAAGCCCCCGGGGCGTTCGCGCGCGACCCCCGCCCCCGCCTGCAGCCCGCTTTCCGGGATTTCCGCAGCCGGCCTGGCCCAGCGGGCAGCGCGCCCCCGGGGGCTGCAAGCGCTCGCCCAGGTGGAGGTCAGCGCTCGGCGCGGCCGGC